CCAATGGACAAGTTCTTCCATGAACATCCCCTGATGACCCAGACCTTCAAAGAAGCTGTCTACTGTGAAGGTGGCTTTTAGCTTCCAGTGAGACAGTGAAGTTAGGTGTTGCTGTTGCGGTTGTACTGGTTGAAGACTCAGACGCCCTCTAAAGCCATTAAATATTCACGTGATTAGACCCAAAAATCTAGACTGCTTCTACGGTAGTTACTACTCCACTACCGGTAGAAAAGGCACTAAAGAGTGCAACAATGGTTGATTAAGGCATAGGGAACAATAGGTGATTATTTCAAGCTGCTGAACTCCCAACAACTCCACACATGGTTCGGTTGCTTTCAAGAAAAAAGGGCCGGCAAGATTGATGCTCGAAGACTTTAAAATAGCCTTAAACATTGCTCCTGATGCCTTGCATAAGGAGGAGGTGAAATGGTGGCAAATAAAAACATTTATAAAAACCGACTTGGAAAGGAACCGGGTTTAGCGCTTCTCAATGGAAGCGTGTCAATCTGCTTCCCATGGGTGTCGAGAAATCAGTAGATCTGAAGGTCTTCTCGTTGAAATCCAGAAAAGAGCATATTAAGCAAACAGCAGTTCAGATCAGATGGGTTGAAGAATAATTTGGTTCTAGATGCAATTCGAGGCGGTCCCCAGCGGTCAATTGCGAATCAGACCGCAAGCCCCACCTCTGTTCAGAGGGACCGAAAGCAAATGCACACATGTATAGTGCAAAAGCAAAGGAAATAATATGTAAAGTAATAATTACCACAACTGACGTTACCCATTCTTAGCCCAATACGATAAATACTTGCAGATAGTTAAACTTTTGTTTCTAAAATGGAACCACGCGCTTGCAGGTGAGTACGGCGCAAGGCCTTCTCACGGGTAAACTACCTCGAAAGAATGAGGCTTCCTCCACATTGACCGCCTGGCTCTGAGTATTTCCAGAAAATAGGCTTGTTTTCCTATTCTCAAGCTGTGTTAAAATTGTTTTGCCTTATGCATCGGAAGTTTTCCAGTGAAAAGCTGCGACCGCAAGGACAGCGTAGCTCTCTGGGGATGCCGCGGTGTCAACCCTAAAAATCTGGATTTTTGTGTGCACTGCTTCATCAATAGTCACCATAATCGTCAAGACAAACTATTCTTGATAAGTTAAAATCCAACCCTCTTAATCTAAAGAGGTTACTTCGACGGTTATCGTACACGGCTTGGTAACGCATTCCCTAGCAATGCGTTCTGTTCAGTCAACCAGACAATGGAGGGAACAGTAAAAACCAACTATTCTATACCTGTCCACGCTATGAATGCATTAACGTTACACGAACTGTTTAGATTACAACAGTTTATTGGGTGGCTGATTGAAAATGAGTAGTATAGCCATTAATTTAAACTGTTATGAGTCACTGAAATGTGAATGAAAGTAGCGTGGGGAGCGCTGTGGAAAATAATTGAAAATTGCATATAACAGATTGCTTTGCGCACACTTATGAGAAAATGAAGAACAAGATTAAATCGGCCCTCCCAACAGTGACTGATCGAGTGAGTGCTACTTAATTTATCGATAGTAGTATTAATCGAGGATGAAGCTTCCGGAAGACGGGAGAATAAAGACGACCCACTAAAATCATCCAAGAGCTGAAAAGGTCTGAAACGCAAGGGCTAGAGGAAAGAGACCCTGCTCTCTAATTACACGCATCCCTCTTTTGATAGCGTCCTTGACAGGTGGAAAGGAGGAAAGCCTCTAATTACTACCGACAGTAGGAAACGAAAGCGATATAAGAACTAGGAATGTTCATGTATCTATACCTCTATCAGGCAGTCTTGTTGTCTGGTTCATTATTTATTAGCGGTATTATAAGATAGGCATTAGGAGCTTGGCCAACGCATACCTTCCAACCTGCCCTGATTGAATTGACATGTGTCAGCCCACCAGAAGCAAGAGGGGAGAAGGAAACAGCGGCGTAATTTAAACAACCGTATACCTTCTAAATTGGTCCATTAGACTAACAAATCCTGCCAAAACTACCTGCAAGTATTCACTCACCCTCCGATGCAAATCATCGTTTGTGACCGAACTCGTAAATGCTATGGTGCATTCTCAGATCCGCAAAATGGGCCAATGCAAATGAAATTAGGAGGGAGAGGCAACACAACTACTGTTGCCTCATTTAATTCCAAAGCATTCAAAAGTAAAATGTGATCTCTTTTTTTGTTGGTGTGTTTGACAACCCAAGTAGTGCCAACAACTACTACTACGACAACAACAAGTCACTCCACTTAAAGTGGTTCCCAACTTTCATGCAGGACAAAGCATACCCAGTTGATTATTCTTCCGTCGGAATTGTTCACAATTCGCCTTCTCGAGTCGCAATTCGTCCAGTCTGGCCTTCTGCTTTGGCGACATCTCGAGATTTCGAGGTGGGGAATTCACAAATTTTGGCAGCTAAAAGCATGAGGCAAATTCAATCCACTACACCCAACGGAAGTAGTCCTAAGTCGCTCTACATATCAATCCACTTGTTTAAATTATGCAATTTTTTGTCAGTTAAGAGGCCAAAAAGGAAATGAAATGGACAAGTCAATGGCATTGAGAGGGAAGAAAGTGGACACTTCCACCACTTTAACCCCAAAGTGGTGGTGGTGGTGGTGGTGGTCTGTAATTCCTATGTAGTAGCAGTACTTTTGTCTGGACTAAAAGTATTCAAAAAAGGGGTACAATTAATTTTCCTTGAAGTGAGACTAAAACAATGTACTAGTGATGAAATCATGGCGTTTGATGAGGCATCGGGTCATCAAGGGGGCCTCGGACGTTGACTTTTATACAATCAGTTAGCGCCACGAATGAAGCGGTAGAGTCATAGCCAACATGTTGCCACTTGGTGCAGAGATGACGCCAAAGAGAGCGTCTTTTATGAAGTTGCATAGAGAGATCGTGCAAAGATCCACCTTCCACAAACAGTGAGACTGAGAAAGAAGTGGAATAATGAGGAAGGGACACCGATTAATGACTCCACTTCTGGATACAAGTTATGACAACTGGCAAAGCAGACGACGTCGATACAGACTTTCAGGTGCCAACTCGACCTCCATACGGCAAATCACAAGAGATCAAGCAAAAACATAAAAAGAAAAGACACCCAGGTAGACAAAAAGGCCGAAGATGTAATGATGAGGAATGAAGTGGACATTAGCACTAACAGTATTTATTACCTCCCTTCAAAATTGTTATCACTCCTGCTCCTGCAATCAATGTAGGTTGGAAAGAAATGACGAAGATGGCACAAACGATGCTCCAATTAGGATGAGAAGGAGAGGCGCAAGAAGAGGACAAAAAAAAAAACAAAAACTTGTGCAAGTCTTGTACGATAGGAAAGTTAGGAGATAAATTAACCGCCTAAAACTGCAGGCAAAATAAATGTCAAGTGAAAACCTCGAATGCGAGCATTGGTGGTGTAATGGCTTTTAGGGAATAGAGACGTTTTACTGTAGCCGTAAAAAAAACAGTGCACATTGTGAATAAGTAAACTCCATTTGGACACCAAAAAACCTTTTTTAGAGTTTACACTTTTTGTTTTAATATTTTAGATTTATGATTGTCAAAAGACTGCAAAGTAGGAGTTCCTGTGGAGCATTGGAGAGAGGAAAAATTGCTTACAAATGAATACGATATAAAGAGAAAACCAAGGAAAGGGTTCCGAGTGTTGATGCATCCCTTTATTCTTCTGGTACGGATGAACTCTCAAGATCCTCGGTAAAATGACATCTTTGGTGATGGGAAAGTCTTCGCTCTTGTGAAGGAGAGGCAAAATGGAGGAAAAAAGATCAACAAAGGAGTGGGTGAAGGCACTCAAAACAAGATTGGAAGGCAATTTTCAAAGTCATAGAAGATAGGGAACAATTCTTTGAACCTCAAACTCCTCGCGGCAGAGTAACTGACATTTTTTATGCTTCCCAAGTACCCATCACAGCAACACACGAAGTGAGAATACAAAGCCGCTTCGAAGATCCACCTCTCTCGTCACTTTTACTGCATTCGAATAGCAAAAAAAAAAGGGATCCAAAAAGAGCCTCAAAATTGCATTAAAATGCATGTAAAATGTCTTTCACAGGAGCTTTCCATTTGTCTCACATCCTCATGTCAGTATTTCGAAGTGAAAAATTTCAACATTCCTCATCCAGTTTGTGTGACAAGTCGACAAGAATTCCGGTTTTGGTGAGGGCAGGAAGAGGCAAAGGTTGGGGGGCAAAGCAGGAACGCGGGGAGGGGGGGAGGAGGAGAGGAGGGGAGAGAGAGGGGGAAGGGAAAGGATGGAAATTCCGCCAAAAGGAGGGCGAGATTTTCAAAATTACCATAACCATTTACTACTGCTTTTAAAATGTATGCTTGTATTTGCTTCCACCTTCTCAGTAAATCGAATTTTCGGATGTAGTTTTTCATGGAAGGAAACTAGCTTTAAAAAGGAGAAGCAATAAATTCCGTCCTGATGCTTTTTTAATCAACTCTAACCTGGTACATAGGAGACAGAACTTCATTACGTTGATGTGAAAGTCGAGTGGAAGGTAGAGGTGAGGTTTTCTTTGTTCCAGGCACCACCGCTCCACCCATGCCAGACGCCGGACTCGTAGTTAGACTGGGCGAGAAGAAGACGGGTCGTGATGGTCCTGTTTGATGGTGGCTTCGCTGGGCAGAAAGGTCGAAAAGGAGAAGAAAAATCCTTTCATCACCAACATCGTGACAATGTCTAAGCTCCTCATATCTACGAGATGAAAAGCTCCTTCAAAAAGTGATGCATTTTGAGTGAGAAATGGTGTGAGAAGAATGTCACTACTAACAACTGTCTGTTCCCAAGCTCCACAAAAACAACAAACAAGACTAGTGACAGCAGCAGTAGCAGCAAATGAAACACCGCCACTCGATGCTCTTTTTTTTTGCTGTGGGTACTTACAGGACACACATACACACCGCTGCCGCCGCCACCGTAGATGACACCGATCGCTGCAACGGTGATTCAGACAGGAGGAATTAATGAGCGAAAAGACTGAGCAATTGGTACAAC